ACATGAGTAGGGGCCCTGTCAGCACCATATCTCCCTCTACCCGTAATCACCCGGATATTCAATGGCCCCTCGCTGGGAGTGCAAGCCTTCCACTCCATAAAATTAACAAAAATAGTTTAAAGTGCAGATAATTCAAATAATAATCCAAAAAAAGAGAAAAATATTAACTAAATAATTGTAAATAAAATGTACTGAACATAAATACTATAAAGTACATATATTGCAAAAGCATTTTAGTTTTGTTAATTTATAGGAAACTTTCCAAACTTTGATTTAGCTAAAGGCTGTCCTTCTAAATTGATTGGAAACTACGGGAATTGCTCTTAATGTGCTCTGATCTAGTAATCACTGCCACTCAGAGTACCAGTGTGATTAAACACTGTGTTACTAAAAAAAATTATTTTCTCAGCAGTGATTAATAGGTTGCAATAATTACTTCTGGCCTATAATTAAAGCAGGAGTCAAGTTCCAAATGAACTGAACATCCATATCCATCCACCATGTGCTCTGTCTACAGTATAAACAACATCACAGCACTGAAATTATTCAGAAATTCTGATTGACTGTTTGAATGGAAGGAATATGAATAAGCACTTCTGCACTGCAGTGAGACTCAAATGTTTTGTCTACTAGGATTTTTTTCCTCTCCCTGTCTATTTAAGATTTTTTCCCTTTGGTAACATCAGAAAGATCATGTTTGTTACAACCGTAGCATAATGTACTGTAGTGGGTGAGAGTGTGAACTGGGAAGATCCCTATTCTAATAGTATTAACTAAGTTTATTTTTTTAAAAAAAATATCTTGACTTACCTCCATGGAGCTCAGGATAGCCCATATGGTTCTTCCCTACTGGTTTTATCCTAATAATAACCGTGTAAGACAGGCTAGGTTGAGAAATATTGGCTGGGTCCAAAGTCATAACCTTTGTAGCTGAACAGGGATTTGAACTTGGGTCTCTCCAGCCACAATCTGACAGCACAAAAGCACAGTAGCATCTGCCCTTTTACTGTAAAATAGCAATCTTCTCTCTCCCCCCCTCAATACCTTCACATCTGATAAGTGGGTGTAACAATCCTGAAATACCTGCTAGAAGAACAGGCAAGGAATCTGTAATCCTCCAGATGAACTCCAAATCTCATCAGTTTTAGCCAGTCTAGCCAATAGATAGTTAGTCAATATATCTGAAGAACAAAAGCTTACCTACCCATGTTTTATTTTCAGATGAACTCGGGCCATCAATGCTGCCAGTCACTACCCATCATAGTGGTATCCCATTACTGGTTTCTATTTTTCCCCTTTTCATTTTCCCTCAATCCCTCTCTCCAGTCTCTCGTGGGAGAAGAAGCATGTGCTGTACTTTAGAAATCATTTTAAAAGGGATTTGAATGGCCTTTTATTTCAGCAGCATCTATGCATTTTAAATTTAATGGGAAATGCTATTTTAATCTGCTGTGACACAATGCTATTATATGTCATGCATCACTGTAGCAGCCCATGCTAAAGAGGCCTGAGGGCAGGAAAGTGCCAATGAGTGTTTCCTCTTAGGGTTTTGCAAAGGGATGAGCAGCAGTTTAGGCTAAGAATTTTCTTCTTTATCTGGCAGGGCAGCAGTAGCTGAAATCCAAATTCAGTGTGATGGAAGGAAATGTCTTATTTCTTGTGAGAAGAAAACATTAGATGAAGATGTTCTGAATGATGCAGCAGCTGTGAGGACAAAGTGTCATTTCCTGGTAGAGGCAGAGGTCAGAAAGAAGGGGCAGAATTGGTAGTGTGGGTTAGGTAAAGATAAAGGTTCCCCTTGACATTTAGTCCAGTCGTGTCTGACTCTAGGGTGCAGTCCTCATCCCCGTCTCCAAGCCGTAGAACCAGCGTTTGTCCATAGACAGTTTCCGTGGTCAGGTGGCCAGCGTGACTAGACATGGAACGCTGTTTCCTTCCCACCGTGGTGGTGCCTATTTATCTACTTGCATTTACATGCTTTTGAACCACTAGGTTGGCAGGAGCTGGGACAAGTGACGGAGCTCACTCTGCCACGTGGATTCGATCTTACGATGGCTGGTCTTCTGACCATGTGGGTTAGTGCCCACCTACAGTATTTGAGAAAGGAAAAAAGCAAGGTTAGATGGGTTAGTGCCCACCTATTTGAGAAAGGAAAAAAGCAAGGTTAGAAAGACAGGATGAAAAGCACATTTTCTCCAGACAGAGAAGGCATTCTCTCTAAAGGGAAGTCTGGGAAGCTAGCCTTAGATGTCAGATGAGCTCAAGGAGAACATCAATTTGGTTCACTAAACCCACCAGATGTAGATGACTGACTTGCCTGTATTTCAGCTGAGGTGTAGGGGAATTCCTAGATAAAGGAGTAAAGGGGGAATTACAATTCAGATATGGGAAAGTGTAGGAAGCTCCATGAAGTTGGCCAATGCCTTTTGTTTTACAGAAAAGTGAAGAGAGAGAACAGTAGCCTTATCTGTGGGAAATTAGTTGCAACCAAACAAGAGAGATAAAGTGGGGAGTAGATGAACAGAGCGGATGGATGAGGAGAGGCTCTCTGTTCCCTTATTCCCATCCATCATCTGTAGTCAACTGTTGGTAGAATAGACTGTCAAAGAACAGCTTCATTAGTGTTCTGAATTATAATGGCTAATTTTAATCTCTAATGTTAGAGTTAAAATGGTCTATCATAGATTATTTCATTTAGCTTAATATTTTCAAAGTTCTGTACTAGAAAGTGGGAAAGAAAAAAGTAGATGTGTGTGCCCACACACACACATTTATGTTGTATTAGGCATTATACATGAAAATAACTGCTTGGAAATATTTATATTGCTTCTCTTGAATTCTAGAATGGATTGCGGAATCCAAAATGCATTGTACTTGGACATTTAAAGGGAAGCTGAGCATGCTTTAGAATGTCTCCATGTCTGAAGATTAACATAGGGAAAGACAATGGGCTTAGCACAGTTTGGAAAGGCTGCTCATGCCTTCCCTCACAAGCACAGAAGTCCCAGGTACAATACATGCTCTGTGCTGCCATCTGCTCCTTGCCATTCTAGAGATCTTGAGTATGCAGGCAAGGAGGCAAGGCTTATGGTAACCAAGAGATGGCTCTGTGCCACACAAGCTGGGAAGGCTGCTCATGCCTTCCCTCACAAGCGCAGAAGTCCCAGGCAAGGAGGCAAGGCTTATGATAACCAAGAGATGGCTCTGTGCCACACAAGGCCTGACTTGCTATTTTTGGAGCAGCCACAGCTCGGATGTGCTGAGTCCTCGTTGCTATTTTTAGAGCAGCCCCAGCTGATGCTCAAATGTGGTGGGTCCTGTTCTTCTCCCTTGGCTGGAATCTGGGTTTCCAGTACAAATTTTAGTCTGCATTTCTTATCTAGTCTGCATAGATCTGCATTTTTGCAGAGACGTGTGTGCATCTTAACAGATGTGAGAAAGAAGTTTGACTATTTTTACGTTTTATTAATTACAGGAAAAAAAGGTCAGAATCTTAATACCCTACTTCCAGAACATAAGTAGTTCAAATTGACTGGCTAAACATATTTATTTCATCATCACTTTCCAGGTTTTTAGAGTTATACCATTAATGCCCCAATCTGCATTTCCTTTTTCTAAATTAAAGAAGACTTTTGATCTGGCTAACAAAGTTTGTTTCTTGGAATGCAGGCGTCAGAGCTGGCCCTGCCAGTAGGCAAAGGAAGATAGCTGCCTCATTTTCCTCGTTCAGAGGACAGAGCTTTGTTTGCTGCATGGATTGTTCTGCACCTTCAAGCTAGTCTCATGTTCTGAAGTGTGGTGGAAGGTGCTATCCCATTCCCAATGTTAAAATAATATTCAACTGCCAGGATAATCAGTACATGTACAGTTTCAGATTTGGAGCTTGATCTTGGCCATTGGCTTGGACAACTATTTTGGACCAGCTCTGCTGAGAAGAGAGTCAGTTCTTTCACACCATTGGCTTGGACAACAAACTATTTTGGACCATCTCTGCTGAGAAGAGAGTCAGTTCTTTCACTCCAAAGAAATGTTAGTCCTGAATAGACTTCCTTCTGTAGAATCAACATGCGGGAAGGAAACCAATGGAAATATGGTGCAGTCTCCATCTCTACAATTTGCTGCCACCTCTTCTTTATGGACTGCGTACTTGAAGCATGTCCATCTCAGGCTGTTGAGATATTACACAATGTGGATCAGCTCTTTAACATATTTACCCAAAATGAATGGTATTCTAAGACCATCACCCATACTGTGCACTGTAAGGCTTAGTCATTAAGCTTGCCATCTATTATGTATTTCAAGGCTTTTCCCCCCCATATTTATAAGATGTCATTTTCCTTTGCAAGCTATGTGTTAGAGAACAATATATTCCTGTTTTCTGGCAGATGTAGTCTGTCACCTTTCACTGCCTCACATTTTCTTCATTGTTTTAGAGCTCTTTGTGTGGTCAGTCTCGATTTAACGGAAAAAATAAATAAAACGGCAGATGTTGTGGGGCAGCTCTTGCATTCTCACAGTTTTCTTACCACATGAAGAGATTTGACCTGGTAGTGCCGTGTTCCTCTGAACAGAAAGTATGCCTGACCGCTCCATCCTTTTGTTGGGTTGAAAAGTGATGTTGGAGGAAACAGATGTTGAGAGGAAGACTATTCCAGCTATTGATAATATTCAAGATTGCCTGTACTGTATTTAGGTTATATTCCTGGTATAAAGGATGAAAAGTACTACAGAGGTTTTCCTTCCGCCCTTGCTGTTTGATTTTACATGCCAGTAATATCTGGTCACGCCATAAGAAGCAGCAGTGTGTGAAATGTACTGTTGCTTTGAACGTTTTAAATATGATTTCATTTGAGTAAAATCAAAAGTCACTAAAGAGTGTATTTGCACATCCTGGGTTTTTTTTAATGAAATGAAAAGTGTCTGGTTTTGGTTATAGATGTTAATTGCTTTTGTTTTAACTATGCTTGTAATGTATTTCTTCTCTCTCTCTCTGTGTCCAGAAATGTGATGTGCTGTGGGAAGATTTTCATCAAAAGCTAGTAGATGGGTCACTGCTAACTTTGGATACATATCTGGGACAGTTTCCTGATATAAAGGTACTATGATAACTGACTGTAAACTTAAGTACACATTTGCTCAATTCCTGTGATCTTTCCATAGTGCAAAGAATGAAAGGATATTGTACTCAAATGCTATACAAAGTATTTTTGCATTTCCTTCCCTGTGAACCAGCTTTAAGGGGTTCCCAGTTATCCCACAATCCATACACTGAGCTATCCCTTGATCCATAACCATTTGAAAAATGTGATCCAGTTCAAAGCTGAGGCCATCTGCCATTGTTTTTCTGGATTTGCTCCTTGTCCACTCAGTAATGCACCATGATCAGAATTATATGCAGGATCATCTCCTGGAATATTTCTGAATGAAAGATTCTTTATTGTAAAAGAATAGCCTGAATAACCATTATTTTCGCTCTACTGCTATAATACTGCCCTGTAGTTTAGTGCAATAGTTTTGTTTGCTTGGTTTTGTTTAGTAGCTGTTTGAATTAACCGTGTTTTAAGTTCCTTGTATTTTTAGAATTTTCTGGGAGCAGCTATAATGGTGCTCGGAAAGAACTGTTGTTTGTTTGACCCACTGTGATTGCCTCCAGACTTTTGTCTGCCCATCCCCATCAGGGTATCACTACTAGTTATGTCAGGGTTGGCCTATATGTTCATTTGGCATATGGGTTAATACATGTGGGCTTTTTACTGAGCTTGCTTGAGTTTTTGGTCTTCCCTCTAAAGCAGGCTTGTCCAACCTGCGACCCGAGGGCCGCATGCGGCCCAGGTCGGCTCATAATGTGGCCCAGTGCAATTTTTTATTTTTAAAGAAATTCCAATGTTTCAAGTTACACTGCCGGCGCTTGCGGTCGGAATGCAGGTGGGGCATGTCACAATGGTGGGGGGAGAGAGGGAAAGAAGGAAGGAGCAGGAGGGGAGGGGAGAGGGGGGCTGTGTGACTGCATTGCGCCATCCCCATCAGTAGGTGGACCCCCTCCTGACTCCATAAAGCCACTGGAGTCAAAGCTGGCAGCCTCTGCTGTCTGAGATCGCAGCTGCCAGTAAGCGCGCTTGGAGCGGGGCTGCGGAGGATGGCTAGGGCTGCCCCCCCATGCGGCCCAAACCAAATTTTCATCTTCTGATGTGGCCCAGGGAAGGTGAAAGTTTGGACACCCCTGCTCAGGGATCTTCTATTTAAACCACCTTACAGGTATCCAGAGGAAGGGGCGGAAAGGGAAATGTTGCCAGTTCCCAGTTTAGCATCTTAATTCTGTTAGCTGCAGGCTGCAAAAGCTTTCTCTCCCTCTCCCCATTCAGGTGGTTTTAGTTCCTGTTGACTTTGAGCTTAATCTTGATGTCTTTCCCCTCTTTGTTTCTATTACATGTTGTGTATGTTTATGTTATGTTGCTGTATTAATTTCTTTCTGTAGAAAGAGATTATTATGATGGCAATAGTAATGTTCCCATTACCAAGAAATACAAGTACTTAAAACACTGCAAGAGATACTATCAAGTCAGATGCCACACTGCTTAATTAACTGAATTCCAAATATATGCCAAAATGAAATGTGATGGGTATAATTCCAGTGTTAAACATCAGTGGCAGTCTTTCTTGACAGAATATTCACTCTGTTGATTAATATACATAATCCCCAGGATATTTGAAGGGCTGTACATTTCCATAGGAGCCTCTCTGGGTGCTGAGAACATCAGGAGACGTCTTTCTGTCAGTTTCAAGACTCTCACAGGCAGGCTTGGTGCAGACACAGCACAGGACCTCTCTGGAGTGCTGTTATGCTGGAAAGCCGGCTGGAAAAATCTTTTCTTTTCCAGCAGATTTTAATGTGTAAACCCCTGCCCAGGGTGGGATTTTAAGGGAGGGGATTGGGATTTTATCTTTTTAAATGTTTTTAAATATGTAAAGAGATTTTCTTTACTATCTTTTAATAATTAACATGTCTAATTGTTTTTAATGGTATAATTTATTTTATTTGTAATTGTCTAATAATTTAGTTTTTAAAAGTTACTTGGAATCCACCTTCACTTCCTCTATAGGGAAAAAGTTGGGGTAAAGATTACGTAGGTAGATAAATGGATGCATGCATGCATACACACATAGACAGACAAAAATTCAGCACAAATTGCGTTCAGGGGTGCTGTGTGTTAGACCTGTTTTTCTTCCTCAAAGAATACTTTATAGGTTTCAAAATAAGTTCTGTAAACAAATATTCTCTGATATATATTCTGTGAATCTGATATGAAATTTAGAAAATTCACCTTCAGATTTTGGTGAAATGAAGCTATGTGTTATTTGAAAATTTTGTAGTGATTTAGTGATTTTTTTTTACCCTACTAGTATCATGCAGTATTTGGTTCTTAAGTGCTAAAATAAAAAAATGGGGAGAGGGAATTGAAACAGCACTTCAAAAAAATTTGAATTGTAAACAGCCTACATAACAGGAACTGTGATTACCTTGATTGGAATATCTCTGTTTACAGAACCGTATTGCAAAACGGAGCAGAAAGCTGGTGGACTATGACAGTGCAAGGCATCACCTGGAAGCACTACAGAGTTCAAAGAGAAAAGATGAAAGCAGAATTTCCAAGGTAATACACATTTCTGAATTATAAACAGCACTACAAATGGGAGTCAAATTACTCCCTGCCAAGTGCTTACTATATCACCTGAATCTGTTGTTGTCATCGTTACTTGTTTGAACCAAAAATTTTATGTTGTGGAAAGAGTAGTCCAGAAAATTCAGCTGTCTTCAATCTTGGATTATGAAATAGACTGCATATTTTCTGGAGCTGAGATTGACATAGGCCCTGCCTAGAGCTGTGCTTCTAAATATGAGCCAGGTCTCCTTAAGAGGAGAGGCCAGTGTTACTAAGGGATATGCAAGATTTCCTCTTCATCACTGCAGTACAAATGGGTGTGTGGACTGTCTTAACCCAATTAAAACATAACAAATATCTTGCGGGAGCTTTTTTTCTCCTGAGGGAAACATTTTGTGTACCATACTGCCCAGATATTGTTTATAAAGAATAACCATGTAGGCCATGTTTTGCTGCTGTTATGGTCTTTGTGATAAAGGACAAAAATGGCAGGGACCTCACAGAAGCAGAAGACATCAAGAAGAGGTGGCAAGAATACACAGAGGCATTCCACCAGAAAGATCTGGATGTCCCGGACAACCCAGATAGTGTGGCTGCTGATCTTGAGCCAGACATCGTGGAGAGTGAAGTCAAGTGGGCCTTAGAAAGCATGGCTAACAACAAGGCCAGTGGAGGTGATGGCATTCCAATGGAACTATTTAAAATCTTAAAAGACGACGCTGTTAAGGTGCTACACTCAATATGTCAGCAAGTACTGTACAGTTGCACCCATTTCATACGCTAGCAAGGTTATGCTCAAAATCCTACAAGGTAGGCTTCAGCAGTATGTGGACCAAGAACTCCCAGAAGTACAAGCTGTATTTTGAAGAGGCAGAGGAACTAGAGATGAAATTGCTAACATGCGCTGGATT